ACACACACACACACACACACACACACACACACAATAGTCGTGTCTACATGACTTCATAGAACATCACATTTACTTACTTTCATTTCCTGGATAGTTACTCTGACCTCAACCATAACTACTACTTGTCGAACCCTGATTCCATCCCTAACCTTTACCTACACGTAACGCTAGTTTACAATTAAAAATCATTACATGTAATGAGGATTTGCTTTTGTCCCCAATACGGATAATAAGTCCCACTAATCTAAAACATGAGTGACTTGTGATAAAAGAAATTAGTCAGACTGTGAAAGGGTAAATCGGGCAGAGGGGATATGTAGAAGATGTAAAGAACTTCTCCAAATTGGCCACCCGTTATGATTTTTTCACAGTCAGCAGACGTTGTAGAGGTGCAGTAAGATTGTTGTGTACCTGGCTCCTGGACAGACTGCTCTGGGCAACGTTGTGTGCAGACAGGATACCCTGAGCCCAACCTGGAGTGGCCCTCTCCAACAAAGACGAAGGCTGAAGGAGAGAACAAACTCAAAAGGTTGATACAACTATTCAATTTGAAGTCAAGTGTGATTCTAAACATCATCAAAAGCTACGGTGCATTTGCTTTACCTTGGTAATTTTTATGCCCCCGTCCTTTTTCTTAGCCTTGTGAGTAGCAGAATAGTTGTGCCTGGCACTGTCATAATCCACCAGCTTCCTGTCCCTCTTAGCAATACGTGCCTGAATGGAAAAAAAGAAAAGAGAAGAAGAGAAGAGGGAGAATAAGAATTTGTTTATTATCTCTATCTGCAGTGCAGTTTTCATGCATCATAACTAAGCTTGTCTTTGTTAGCCTCCAGGCAACCAATGAACAAATGTGCTTCTCTAAAAAATGTCATAGATTCATTCAGTGTTTTCTTTATAACGTCTACTCTTCGTTTAATGTCCATAATTCAATAAAACAGAAAATAGTGTGAAGGCCTCACTGCATGAACACGTGGTGCTAACACCTTGCAAGTGAGGTAACAACATGTCGCTTTGACCACACAGCTCACCTTAATATCAGGGAACTGGCCCAGGTACGTATCCATGGAGATGAGGGCATTATCAACCAACTTCTGGTGGTAATCCGTCCACAACACATCACAGTCCTGCAGCGTGGATTAACAACAGCACACACAATAAAAGATTCCCATCTCTTCCTCTATAGATAGTTGCTATATATGTCTTTGATCGTCTTGTGTCTAAAATTAGAATAAATTGAAACCCTTTACTGTTTAAAAGCACCCTTAATCCAAAAGTAATTTCAAGAGCAAGCATGATGCAGCAAAGGAGATACTTATTCTTCTAACCAAGCCCACTCACAATAACGAGAAAGAGCTGCTGGGAAACATAAGCAAATAAGGAGCCATACACGCCCACACACACACACACACACACATATAAGACACACACACTTTGTATATCCTCTCTCACACACATGCAGATGATTCCTCTCTTTAAAGCACATTTATCAAAGTGTTTCTGACCTCCACAATGGAATCCACTTCATTCTTGCCTTGCCACTCCGGTTCGTACATATCAACCAGACAGGACTGCAGGTTATTGGACGACTCATGCATGGCTGAGGACAAACACACCAACTGTTAACTAGATATTTGCACATCCATGATTGTGGTTGTGGCTTGAATGCATGTGTGTGTTCATCAGTAGGACTTTGCATGTGTTTGTGTGTTTGTGTGTGTGTGTGTCTGTGTGTGTCACCTTTCACAGCCTCCAGGTACGCCCTGAGGTCTCTCTGCAGTTTGCTGCCTTCGGCCTGTGGGTGAAACAGAACATGAGGGTCAAAGAAAGTATGAGGAGAGAAGTAAAGACGTTACAAGCCAGTTGTGCCAGAAAATGCTTCAGTCGCAGCAAATTCAAACCTATTTGATCTAATGCACATTTGAGTTTTATGTCAAAACAAGTGGTGGAGGAAGTACTCAACAATTTTACTCAAGTAAAAGTACCATATTAACCTTTCTATGTGAGTAAAAGTAATTTACTTTTGAATATACTTCAAAAGGAAAGTCTTAAAGGTAGAAGTACTAAGTGTTGGCTATTCCCTAATGTGTCTACTACCTCATTAACTGTGTCTACAGCATGTCCTGTTTAATACAGACTGTGTTATATCAATAAAGAATCCTGCAGATGCTGTAACTGAAAACACTTCTCATGTCTCAGTTTGTCCACCAGTGACACTGTGCTGCAGGAGGCTGGGTCTAATGTTACCTGCCCGCTCTGTAAAGTAAAGTACAAAAACATGGACAATGTACTAAAGTATAGTAACAAAGTCATTTACATCCCACCAATGGTTGACACGACATGTATATCTAAAAATAGAAGTTCTGAGATGCTGCAACCTTTACCCTCTGTTGATAGTTAGATGTGGTAATATGGTGTCACAGTAAAAGTAACAGTCAAAGTAGTTTTGGAAGCACATTTACTTGTGTGTCACTGAACTCACATATTGTTTGGTGAAGTTGATAACTCCCTCCTCAAAGGCAACGTCTTTGGTCTCGTCGGCTTTGCCAAGTTTCTGGAGAACCTGTCCGTCACACAAAGTATCGTATTAGGCAAGAGCACATGATTTCACTCAGTTTTTACTTTCTGTGATGAAATACAAAAGGGGAGGTTTTGATTCTTCATAAAAACAGACTTAACAGGGGACAGACCCGTTTGTCTGTATGGGAGCATACACATACGTATTTGTTCAAAGCTATAGATCACACACACTAACTCTGGACTGCACTTTAAACTCACTCAACTTTAACTCACCTAAATGTACAATTCACTTCTGTCTGAGCAATTCATGGCATATGTACAACCTGTTTCTCTGTATAAAATCTCACACTATGTATATTCTGCTTACACTGTATACATTCATTCTATACCACTTGTCCTCTTTGCTGCTGTAACAGTGGGACTACTAAAGGATTATTGTATCTTCTCTCATACATAAATACACAGTAATCACTCACAACCTCCTCATCCTGACGCATTCATACATATATAACGTGCATACTGGCTTCATAATGTTTCCTCTCTGTCTCCCTCTCTTAAGTCCAGTGCATGATGCGTGTAAATGGACACGCAGCGCCCCCTGACATTTATTCAGCGCACAACCCGCAGGTGCGTGCACGCACAGACTTGGGCCCCTTATTTACCACTTGCACACACCGCAGCGTGCACGTTCCATATCGTTGTGATGCTTGTAAAATGCAAGAGAGTCTACAGTCAGCCACCATCTGCGTAACGACCCTCAGCTACAGTTTAAGCCCGAACCCCATCGGTCCCCAGGCTGAATGAAGAGCAGGCCTAACAGGTTATCTCACTGCATTAAGAGGAGTGTCCGCTGCATGACATTGGCTGCAGAGGGGGATGTGTTTGAAGGCAAACTGCCCCATCCCCAGAACCCACCATCCATTCTCTTATTATTATTATAACGTCGTGATGCGACACTGCGCCTTCGGTCGGTGGAGGATGCGGCACCACTGCTGCCTCTCAGCCTGTGGGCCTGCACTTCCTCCTCCTCCTCCTCCTCCATCCCTGTGCGTTAACATGTAAACCAGCAGCTCCTACCTTCTCCTGGGCTCTGGTTAGCTTTTTCTGCACGTTGCTGGCCACTTTCCCCGCAGTCAGCCCCTTCCCCAAATTCAACTCAGCCATCTTGGAGCGTCGGATACGTCTGTTGGATGCGGGAGAAGGAGAGGAAACACAGGAGAATAACGATCGGACGGACCGCTACGGCGACGGTGGACGCAGATTCATCAATGTCCAGTGGAGAATTAACGCTGATGGGTGTAATCGTGTGGTGCTGTGGTGTATCTGTGGGATTGAGTGAGGGCAGAAGGCTAAAGCTGTATCTCTGTAATGTTGAGTCGATGTGTGCGCGACCGTGACAGAGGAGGAGGATGCTGAGCGAGATGCTCTTAAAGGCACAGATGCTGCTGCGCACGGAGGAGGTAGTAGTATAGATCATAAAGATTAAATGTGAATGAAATCTATTCTATGAGAAAAACATGTTACTTTTTGTTATATAATGATTTGTCGTTGTTGTTTTTTTACAATTTGGCCCAAATACCCCTTGATCATGGAATAAAGGCTTTAATTCCTCAATGTCTGAAATTCACAAGAAATAAATATAATTCAATCCATTTAACATCATTCATAACTGACCAAAACACTCGAACAACAGACTTACATCTTTTAAAACATGTGCTGTATTAAAGCTCCAAACTTATCTGCCTCAATCTGACGTATGGTTACATAACAATTGAATGGAAAAGAAAAGGTTATAATGTCAATGGAGATTAGCAGTCATGTGACTCAGGGAAGTTTACTGCACAGACAGACACCAGTGTATTAAATATTAAACATTTTGATATTAATACTGGATTAAAGGTATAACAGATAAATTGTAGTTTTAATTTTGATTTTTGAGCAATTTTTCTTTAAGTAAATTACATCAGGCTGAGAGTGGAAGTTAGAATTATGACCCAGTCGTGCAGACCTGTAAAAATAATCCCAGACCAACATTATGTGGCATAAAATAAAAACTATAAAATCAATATTCTGAATACATAAAGAAATATACATTAAAACTATAAGCAAATATTGTGGATGGAGACTAAAAGCACCATGATAATCTTCTGAGGATACTATTAACCTCATTGGCAAACATGGTCCAGACTACAACAGGATTCATCTGGTTTTAAAGACTCCACTGTGCTGCACAAGAAACTACTTTAATCCACGAGATGGCGCTGTGGACCCATGTAAAACCCCCATAAATACAGTATCTATACTAGTCCCACGCACAGAGCTCTGACTCTTACTCTTAAAGAAAAAACATCTGGCTGTTACTGCTCAAGGGCTGCAGCAGCCTAGTGAAGGATTAAGGCTGAGTGGATGTACAGAGGAGAGATCAGACAGAGCAGGCTGTTCTCACGGATGTTACTGTGGATCCATGGTTACATTGTCATGATTGTGTACAACAACCCTCAGTATGTTCCTGGATGTGACAACTCTGTTTTCCTTAATTTCAGTGTTAGTGTTATGTTGTTATTACAACATATATCAGTCACATACCCTCAAATTGCACAGAGCGACATGATAACATCACATTTGGAAATAAAAACCAACACTATGAAAGTCATTCCAATTAGTTTTTGACATTATCAGAATAAGACATTAAAAAAATATATGATTATTATTAATAATAATGATATAATAACTGATGTATTACAAACACAGGTACATTTGATACAAAAGAGAAACCACAGCTCTCTCTTGTCTCAGGTTGGCTGGGAGCTCTCCGAGGTCCTGAACCCACCGGCTGCTGGTGCTGAACAAGAAAACTCATAAAATACCAAATCCTCACTTTTGTCATTTACTTATTTCGTCCTTCCATTGCACTGGATGTCATTATATCTCTGTTGCATAATCTGGCATGAGAGCGCAGTTAGGAAGAAATCCTGCTCGCATGTGAGAAGAAAGATGGTTTAGTGTGGAGGAGGTTGCAGAGGGGCTGATTACTGGGATCTCATACTTATAGAGCAAGATACTCTTTCGATATAGAAAGTGTCACATGTTGCTGGATGATGTTAAAGACACTAGTTCCCTTTTTATCTTATTTTTTTCTCATTTGAAATAGATTGTCTCAGCCTTTTCATACTTTCTCTCTCTCCCCCTCTTTCCCCCTCTTCACTCACTTTCCTCTCATCTGTCCACTGCCTCCCAGTGTCTTTATCCCCGACAATAACAACATTTGGCCACGAGTCACCAAGCCCATTCGTTCCCGTATAATCACATGGAAAGCTCCTCTCCCTCCCCCTCCCGTGCTGCGGGAATGGTTTAACCCGTTCACAGAGAGTGAGGGAGACGCAGGGAGCACAAAGGAAGCTGGTCGTTTGGATGGCTGGATGGATGGAGAGAAGGGGGGTGTATATAATTGGGCGCATGATGTAAACATGGAATGAAAAACCGCAAGGCTGCATTTCCACTTCCCCGTCGCTCCTGGTCCATTATCGGCGTTCAATATTACATGAGGTCCTGACTAACAAAAGCGCGTCTGTCTGGACGGCTGGAGGGGGGGTGCATTGAGCATAAGTGAGAAAGGAGGAGACAGAAGAGGAGTTGAGCTTTGTTTCATCTGAGCTTCAGAAAGGAGGTTTATTTTTTTGGCTGGACGAGTTGCTCTTTTGTGCTTTTTGGACCCAAGCCTATTCACTCGCGGGGATTTCCCCCCTTGTCTTCAACCCATCTGATTTATTTATCTTGTGGTTGTTTTTTGTTTCGGACTGAAGCATGAAGCAGGAATAAACACCCCAATATGTTGCATCCCTGAGGTGAGTGGGTTTCCTTTTGTTCTCCTCAAATTGCACCACAGGTTTTATTATTGTTTTGTATTGAACCCTGTATGGTTCAAAAAAATGTGACCGTAATCTCCACCCAACAGCCCCCCCCCAAAAAACAATATGAACCATGCACATATACCATCATGTTAAAATGGTTCCCAAAAGCCAATTATGCTGCGCACAGCACGAACAGCCCTTATGGCAAATCACTGTAATTGCCTTTGAGAATGAGACACATGGAGGGCTGCCTCTGCTCTTCTATTGTTTTCCTCTCTATTGTTTTCAACGGAACATTGGGTGCTCTTAAAAACACAGAGACACGAGGCACTTGGAGTGTATCAGTGTGTCAGTGGCAGCTGGATGAATCCTTCATGATGTGTGGGAATGAATAATTTAAGGGACTAAACTGTGAATTTGATACCCGTGTACATAACTGGGTTGGACAGCGTGTAAACACTGGGAGTCCAATTGATTTGCACTTGCGGAAAGTCACGTGCACCAACATCTCTCTCTCTATCTATCTATCTATCTATCTATCTATCTATCTATCTATCTATCCATCTATCTATAAATTCATGCTCTCACTGGATATATCTCCCCATCCCCTCTCTTCTTCTCACAGGCTACAATAATAGCCCATGAAGCATCATCATAATTAGCAGTTTACCAGAGTAAATAGGACGTAATTATAGGCAGAGGGCCTGCTGAGCTTAGTGTGCAGGCATTTTTTTCTTACATTTCCCTTTGTTAAGTGTGCAAATGTTGTCGCGGCACCATGCACACAGCCTGCTACAGTAGTTCTTTACTGGAAATGACAAAGCCTTGAACTTGTGTGTGTTTCCTTTTCACACTCCTGCAGTTTCAAGATAGCATTGTTCGCAAATGGTTTCAAAGAAAAGCATGGAAGGCATTAAAACTGGAGTTATCATGCTGCTTCTTTTTCACCATTTTAATTCAGTGCTAATAATGTGTGGGAATGTGTGTGTGTGTGTGCATGTGTGTGTGTTTGACCTGCCAGAGCATGTGTGCAAGAAAAGAGGAAGACACTAACAGACTGTCAAGAGAAAAGACATTTGTGCAGACATTTATATACCTTGCATGTCTTCTAGTATGTGTAAGATTAGAAAATCAATCACTGCAATACAAAAGTACACGTGAGAGGCAAGGAGTATAAAATGGAGAGTATTATTATGCTGTTATCATGCTGTTAAAAGTATCAAACTCCTTTTTTAAAATTACAGATTATAAAGAACACTTTGGCCTTCTCCTGCACGAAAAGGACAAGACATGGGCTATAAGAGAAAAAATCAAATTACATCCCTGACCTGCAGATCTCTGGAGATATATTGAAGGCTGCACTGTATTTAAATAGAGAAAGCTGACAGAAGGAAGAAGTGGGAGGAAAACACTGTGCTGCTGGTTACTGACTGTGCGCTGTGTTTATCTGACGGATTGGAGGCTGCTCTGGTGTCAACCCACAGGCTTTCTCACTAGAAACTAGAGTTATTAAATCCTCACCTTCAGTTTGCGAATCATTTTCTTGGCTGAACTTTGAATCTGACTTGTAGGAAATAAGTGAAAGTGCAGTGGAAGTGTTCAGTGAACATGAGAGCACTTATTTATCAACAAAAATTTGGCTAAGCGTGCATGTTTTTTATTATCGTTTTTATTGGTATTGAACAAGTAACGCAACACAACAGATACACACCCAAACCACAACCAACTCTCAACCCAACATCTTCTGATGGTTACAAAGAAACGAGCGAAAGACGATATATAAATTAATAAAATATAAATAAATCATATCGTAAATTTCATGCCACAATAATTTCACTGACAGTAACAATCCTGATGTGGACAGCAGACTGGACTAATCCTGAGGTGTAATCTATTGGTCATCCCAGTCCTTTATAACTTAAAACTGTAAGAAAATTTGAAATTTGACTTTCTGCTACAGGGTGTATCTTTCAGCCATCTGATGTGGAACAGAGGTATAACGTCGCCCAAACAAGATGGAGTGCCAGGAATATCGTAAACACAATACAACCATCATGCATGTTAGATAACCATTTTGCATTGACACCAAACATGACAATCTGGGTGTTAAAAGTTACACCATGTGTTACACTTCAGAGATCCAAGCACTGCCTCTCAAATAGAGCAAAGGCCGGGACAGACCCAGAACATGTGACACAGAGTTGCTGGAGCTGCCTGGCACCTCACACTAGCGGGGTCAGAATTAGGAAACATTTTTGCCAGCTTCGTTTTAAAAAGGTGGGCACATTGGGCTATTTTAGCTTGGATGAAACTGGGTCTGCAGCATGGAGATGATTGTTGTTGGCAGGTTGTTTTTCATCAAATTTTTATTTACACTCTCTTTTTAGAGTCACATTCTCCTCAAAAGCCTTTGTTGTTATAAAATGTGCTGCTTCTCTAAAGCACCTGTGAAAACTGTAGCAGGAGCTCATAAGCGAAATCAAAGTGTTCTATCATAACATTTATATCCAATCTAATCCAAAAGATAGATGAAGAGATGGTGAAGAGACAGGAGGAGAGTGAGGAGGTGCAATGGGATTCAGTCCCAAGCCTTTGAAAAGTTCATCAAAAACCTGAATGAGACAACCCCATGTTGCGCTTTGCCTTCGTCTGGATGGAAGCCAAAAGTTCTGTCTCCTTCTGCAATGCTGAGAAAAGTGAGAAAAGACTGGTGAAGATCAGGGTTTCCTTATACAACCACAAGTAAAATATCTTTGTTTTCAACCTCTTCAAGACTCTTCAAGATCCAATTTCAAAACTGCAGCCACAGCAAGCAGGGATGTTCTGCATGGGTCATATGTTGTTTTATTTCAACCATGATATTGGCCTTCACGACAAACACGGCTAATAATGGATGTCAGGATTGAGGTGAGGATGAGTATCATCAGCAAGTCTATCGTTCACACAGAAGGTAAAATTTACTGATTGCCTGTGTTGCAACACTGCGCAGGGGTTATGTAAGTGCAGTGAACATAAGCCAAAGAGACTCAGACTCTAGATGAAGCACAAAACATCTACAAGGGGCTTCTGTGTCTGACTAGACTGCAACGGGCCTCACTGTTTTGTTGTGTATAAGATGGATGATGAGTTAAAAAGGGCAGACAGGGAGATAATGATTGTATGTGAGAATTTTATAAAAGAAACAAATAAAAAAAAAACAAAGAAAGGGTAGGAGGAATAAAAGAGCCGGGGGGGGGGGGGGGGGGTTGACTTTAGAAAACGGGAACTGGGATGAATACAAATAAACCAAAAAATAAAACACCTAAAAGACGCCACCTTCATGGACTACGGGGAATAAACATTAGGGAGGATGATTAGAGTGGACAGAGAGATGGAGAAGAAAGAGGAGAGGACTTAAAAGAGGGAGGGGGCAGAAAGAGATAGGCTGAGTGTAAGAGAAGAGGGAAGGGAAAGGGTAAAGTCGATTCTAATCCCATTAATACACACCAGTGCTGTCCTTCCCACTGGCGTATTCTCATGCACACACACAACACACGGCACACGTACATGTTTCAAAGTGCTTGTACGGATACAGTTTGTTATTCAGCTCACCAGTATGCTGTCTGGACGTCCCCTTAACGACATGAGCAACTCTATACACTAAATGTAAAGTCGTCAGTGTTCCATCAGCGTAATGAGGACAGTGTCAGGTTGAGAGCCACTAGGTTTATCTAGATCTGACTCACAGTGTGTAAGAGCCCTGTGGCAATGTGGCATTTTATGTGTGTGTGTTTGACTGTCATGATGGTTTGTAGCTGAAAGGCTCTCTCCATACTTTCTTGGCAGAGACGTTTGCTGTATCTGTCAACATTTATCTCATAGATGCAAGCAATATCTGAAGAATGTGCATCTAGGCATGTTGCACAGATGCCCTTTGTATCTATGTATACTGTGCGTATGAACTCGTGTTGACAGATCTTTTTCCCACAATCGCTTGTGGGGAAAAGAATCAAGAAAAAGATTATTTGCAGTACCAGTTCATCTGCATGAGAATTGCTGCTGAACTTACATTGGTTTAAAGGATCTGAGGTCGACGGGCATTCCTTGTTTATAACACATAGTAATGTTGTTTGTATGTTAGAGTGTGTGCTAACAAATATCAACACAACAAAGAGAGAGAGCAAATGGAGAACAGAGCTGCAATTGAATCCAGTAATTCAGGACGGGTCTACAGAGACAGAGCTGTGTGCAGTGCGGCTTGGAGCAAAAGATAGAGAGCACAGCTTTATAGAGAGGAACTGTGTGTATCTTTGTGTGTGTGTGTGTGTGTGTGTGTGTGTGTGTGTGTGTCTACAGTGTGTGCCACAGTCTCTAGTCATGGGTTCACACCATCACAGACAAACATGTACTGTGTATCTTCCCCTGGTGGAAAGGACCTAAGTATATTTGATTAATTAGTTGACTCAAGTTCAGTTTAGAGGTCCCTGTACTTGACTTTGATACATTTATTAATGAGAATATGAGCATATTAAGTACAGTGGGGGTTTATACAATAACACAATAGTGTCTCAAGATTTTAGAATTAGCTCCACTTACACCAGTTACAGCATTATAATGCTCACTTGTATTTATAATATATTGATTTTAGATTTTGTGTACATTGTGGAAATTCATTTAAAGCTAGGCTTGCTAATCCTGGGAAGGCTGGCAAGAGCATGCTACTCTTTGAAAAAGTGTAACCAATAAAGTTGACCATCTTGCCACCGGCCCTCTCATCAAAGCTGCGCCCCCAAAACACGTGAACGCTCACTGCCACAACTGCTAGAAGCCGACTTTTCTGTGACTCTCTAACTTCAGTGAGAGCACGGGCAAGGTGCACGCAACCAGACACTTCGGTTAGTGACAGACAGGTACGCTAGCCAATCATTTCATTCAAGTTGTGTTTCTCACAATCCTGCAAGAGCCCGAGCTGCAGTGTCTATTTCTCACACACCTTTATTTGATGGGACATGAAG